CATCACTTCCAGGCGAAGGAGGCCGCGCTCAAGCACACCATTGCCCGCCTGGACCATGACTACGCGACCGTGCTAGCCGAGAAGAATGAGGCCATGCGCCTGCTCACGGCGTTCGTGGGGAGGGGGGGACGGAGCCCGCCCGCCAGCTTGTCGAGCGTGAGTGAGGCGGGCACGGATTCCACCCATCAGAAGGGCAGGCGCACGCTGAGCATGGACGCGTTGAGAAGGGGGAGGGGCGACTTGGAGATGGAATAGCCACCGCGGGCTGCCGCCCTTCTTCTGTTTGTTTTCATTTGCTTTATGTATATAGTCGACCCCGCCGCTCTAGCTTAACACGTCGAGCACTGTCTCGCGCACCGCTTGCATGCGTAGTGCTGACGCTGTGACGTGCCCGCCGCGCACCCACTTTACTTCGACGTTTGGGCGCGCCGCCTGCCATCCATCCACGCAGTCGCGCGATACGTACCTGTTTGTTCCGGAAGCCATTCATGTCAGGTCCATGTGTACAAATTTTGTCCAGCAACATTCGGATTCGCAGGTGAGTCGGCGCAGTGGTGGAGGTCCGTCCGGCAGGCAGAAAAATAGAGACGTTTGGAGAGAAAGGAGGAGGGGGAAGGGGGGGGGGGGGGAGTGCACAAACACATGGATGGTAGTAGGGGAACCGCGGTAAAACAAAGATGAGAGGCAGGAGGCAGCACGAGGATTCGTGTTTGGCCAGCAGAATTGCAAGTTATGCGCGTCCAAGCGCGAGTAGCGTTCACATATGGGGGTCATTACCGACAAGTGCATCAGTCACGTTCAAAACAAATGCATCTGCTGGTCAGAAAGAAGCGTCGTCAAGCAAGAAAGCAAGTGCGGGGGCGCGTCAACGCCTCTGCATCGTTTGCGTCAGGGTTGCCTTTGCTACATCGCGCGGGAGCAAGCATCGTTTCGCAGGTAGGACGATTGTACATAGCTCAGCGCTGTTCTTAACTGGCGATTTGCGTCTCGCAAAGGGCTTTCGAAAGTGTGAGGGCGACCTGGCCGCGCCCTCAGCTAACACTCGGAAGACGCAAGGAATTAAAACGTCCCCAACGCGGTGGTATATATGCCGCCTTTCCGCTTTGCACAAAGGACGGAAACGAATCCGAATCAACTTACCGATCGTCCTGCGCGAACAGGAGGACATGCCTGCCGGGGTCCTCTCTGATGGGAAAATTTCGAATGTGTGTCACATCCAGCACCTGCCCCAACCTGTCCCTAGCCCCATCGCCCCAGTCCTCTCCTAAAGCGTCCCAATCGACGACATCGGCGAGGACGCCTTTCGTGAAGACGGGTGCGGCCGAGTGTGGTGCGAACGCCATCACGGCGGGCACGCTGCCCTCGCACAAGCTAGCGACCATGGCGGCATGCAAGCCGCCCTGCGACACGCCGGCAATCGCCTGCCTCTCAAACCCTTGCTCTCGCAAGTACGCCAGGAGCGCGAGGCTCTCCTCGATGGTGGCGCGGCCCAGGTCGGGGAGGTGCTGCACGTAGTCCAGCAGCGCGCCGCGCTGCGTCGGCGGGCGGCGGCGCCCGTAGAACGGCCCCTCGAGAATGACGCTGGCCACGCCGCGCACGCGCAGCCACAGGGCGTAGAAGAAGAGGCGGCGCAGGAAGCCGTGGTCGCCCGTCGCGGGCAGATGCAGCACCACCGGCGCGGGCGGCGCCCTCGGCAAGGCGGGGACGTAGAGGATGCGCGCCGTGGCGCTCGCCGCGGGGAGGAAGGGGGCGCTGGGCGAGCGGAAGGTGCCTAGGGACAGGTTGAGCGGGAGCGGCGTCCAGGAGATTTCGGCAGGCGAGGGCGTGGGCGTGCTTCCCGTGCGGATGGAGGAGAGCCACGTGCGGTGCACGGAGGCGCAGTCGCCCCAGCCGTGGCGGAAGAATCGCAGCCTGCCGAAGAGCGTGCGGACTTGGGTGAAGGCGCGGTCTACGGTTGCCATCGCGAAGTCATCGAGGTCGCGGTTGCGGGAGCGGGGAGTGGAGTATGGCGGTGAGGTTGTGGGTGACGCATATAGAGCGAGGGGATTTCGAGAGGGGCTTCCTGACAGTCCCGGCGCCATCTACAGCACAATATCGTCGTGCCCATTTTGCAGCGATGGGAATCTCGATCGTTTTTTTTTTTTTTATGTGGAAGGAGCACGGCAGGCACAGTTCAGATTTTTAGTACAGGGGGGGGGGGGGGGGGTCGCGATGTCGCGATATAGTGCTACCCTGTGTCAGTGGGCCGAAAACGGCACTATATCGAACCAGGCACTGTAAGATAATGAGATTTACGGCTTTTTTGCAGCCACTTCCTTGCATCACTGCTCAGAAAGACCTCTCCAGGACGCCATCACTCACACTTTGCATCTTCACTACAGACTCAAGTCTAATCAAGCATTTCTGTTATTAATAGCTGCCGTTGCATTGACTTCCTCCTTTTTCGCAGCCATAAATGCCAGCCTACGCTTTTGCAGATGTCCAATTGCATCATCGACCCTGCCTTTTTCCGCCATAGTCTCTATTCGAGTTGGCAAATGCATAATATCTTTCTGCAGCGGCAGTGGCTCTCGGGCAGTACGTCCATCCAACTGGCCTCTCTGGAGACCCTTCGTTTTTGGCTCAAAATTCGTACCACCTGCGGAAGGGTAGCACTATATCGGAGCTGGCACTAACAAAGATGGCACTATATCCCGACCCCCCTGTAAACAAGAAAAAAATCAATCTCGCGTATCATACGACAGTATTGGGATAGAAGCCGAAGGCATGAATAAAGTTTTGGTATCCGTCAAACGGAACGCAACCACAGTTGTGTTTCAAACAGCGTTCAGGCAAACCTGCACTTCGTCAGAGGGCGAACGCAGGATTTCGGACGGAATGTGGGGGCGAAGATACACAGATGCAGAGTTGAATTTGTTACTGGTCTTTTCTAAGATCGTTCAAAATGTGCTGACGCAGCTCTCTCAGTGAATAGTGTAGTAGACACTACAGCGGGCTTGTAAAATGTGCGGAACAGGGCCGTGTGTTAATGTTACAGAGTAAACTCGTAATGTTAAAACCATAACGATATTCTGCATCTCGTCAACGTTGTGGAAGGGCTAGCGGGTCGACGAAACGGGAAATTAATTTGAGAAAAAAATCCCTTCTGCGTGCTTCTGTGGGCTGAACCTTTATATTGAGCATCGCGGCACTCCATAAAAAACGATCGTCGAAAACTGAACACCTCGTAAATCACAACGAGGAGCGTGCTACTTGCCGTTGCTCCTCGCCAAGTCTCACGATAGCGAAATGTCGTGAGGGTGAGCGAGAGAGTTCAGCCGTTCAGCCATGTTGCTATTGCCATCGTTTTTCTTGGCATGTACGATCATTCTGCTGGTATGCGAAACAACTGCAGCAGGGCGCCTACCACAGCGCGACAAACATCAGATCCGACGCAACGTCCAACTTCGTCGATCAGGGTGCAACAATGGCGGCGCTCGCTCTGCTTGTGGTGGTAACCACATCCCTGGTCCAGGGCTCGATGAAGAGAACTGCGTAAACAAATGCCTGTCGCCGGCTTGCTACGAGGAAGTCTACGACTCCGAACCGGTACGTCGTGCAAAGATAATAGGGTTTACAGGAAAGGCTATCTCCATGGGTCCGCTATGCATGACACCTCACAGCGCAGATATGCTCTCACAAGTCGCATGTGGCTTTCGTCTCACTTGAACTCCGCCGTGGTCTGAGTTGTGTAAATGGTGCCGATGCATCAGAACTAACATACGAAACTCGTGGTTCTGTGCCTATTCAAACTCGTCAACTCTTGCGGGAATGCTTCCTTGCTGTTGCGGATGTGGGATCCGATATTTCATGCGGCGGGATGATGTCTTTGCGATCGCAGCTTGAAGAGGGTGAGGTGGATTATCGACGTTCGCGGCTATTCATGAGCTGCGTCTACACTGAGACCTTATCCAACTTTCGATCTCTCCGGGTTCGTCCTGGTGCGAGAGCCCCGTTCGACAAAGAGGTCACGCCCAATGCGGACACTGACGGCCGCGATGACCTCTGACGCTTGGAATATTTAGGAGCCGCCAAATAGTCCAAAGAGGCGAGACATCATATGCCTACCATATGGGATGTAGCTCAGCGCATACCACACCACTGTAGAAGAACAAGGTGGCAAAAACAGGAAAATGTTCGAATGTTAGCAAGTGCGCATTTTGGTGGAATACAATGGCGGACTGTATCCGAGTGATATCAGGTCAACTTACAAGAACATATCTCGGCTACGACGGCGACGAGGACGATAATATAGCGCAACTTGCCGCCAAAGAATGCAGCAAACAGGGCAATGAACAGTGACGCAAGATAAATACCCGCAGCGACGGCGCGAGCGGGATGAAACATTGCCTGGAGCTGGGCTCTTGGTCCGACGAGAATCCACGTGGAGAAGATGGCGAGCAAATTGCCCAGTGTGAACGAGGCGGCAAACTTGTGCGGGACGACGACAATGACAGGGAGGAAGGAAAAGGATATACACATCATGAGGACGCCCGTGCCGAAGACCATGGCGAAAAGGGCAATTCTTTGAAACCAAGAAAGGTTGAACATAGCGCCCATTTCCTCCGAAAAAGATATCTGCTGCGTGGTCTGCATCTCAACGTCAACGTCGACGGATTCGTCGCCCATCATGCGCCGCAGCGAGTTGACAGAGGACTTGACACCGTCGCCGAGATTGTCGACGCCATCACCGATTGAGGAGCCGAAGTCACCGAAGAACGACTTGGCGCCGGTGGACAGGTGGGCCATGGCATCGTTGAGCGGCGGATCGCTAGTGCCGGCATCTCGCGACGGCGGGGCGCCTTGCAGGGTTTGAAGACCATCCAATAGCCCCATTCCGCTGGACGAACGCGACCTTCGTAGCATTCACGACGAGGGCGACGGGGGTGTTGGTATGACTTGGGCAGACCGGGGAGGAACGGAGGCTCTCAAGGTGACGGGAGACAAAATGGGACAACGGCTGTTGATGACATGACAGCGGGGCCTCACGGCCTGTCTCCGGCAGAAGAAGGTTGCCATTTCATGTGTACACGTGGATGTCTTCCAGTGTTGTGGAATCATAGATTTTGGTGAGTGGTCCGCATCACTCGTTTTCGCATCATATCGTATCTACGCGCGAGATCTTCTGCACATACGGTATGAGAAGTCTGCTGTCCCTATCGCGTCCTCTCTTCTGAATCTGAATCGTTCAAGCACTGGCCGCATCGTGAAGCTTGTGCATCTTCACGTCTAGTAGAGACAGACGCACTTTGTCCTCTGTGTTACTTGCTTCCAACTCCAGACCAAATGTGTTAGATCGTCAGTTGTACCCTTGAATATTGACATTCCGCCGACAACAGAGATACTCACTTAGTCAACCCCCAATCTCTGTGGAGCAGCCCATGGCTGCCATGTCTCCGTTTCGCCGCTTTCTTCCCGCGGCGATATTAGTATTCTGTACATCCACAGCCTTTGCTTCAGATGCTTCGAGCTCAACCGTCTGTGTCATAGGCGCCGGAATCGCCTCAGCATCATTATCCCACTTCCTCACCAAAACGCCCTTGCAACCATCTCCGCGGATACTAGTCTTCGAACGGTCTGCCCAAGTAGGCGGCCGCATTGGCACGGTCCATTTCCCCATAACCGCCGATCGCACAGTGAAGATCGAGTCCGGCGCCTCCATCATCGCCGGAAGCAACCAGCTCATGCGCTACTTTGTCCAATTTCTCGACCTGCAAGCCGCGCCCCCGCGACGTGGCACGCTCGGTCTATGGGACGGAAGCTCCTTGGTACTGCGCACGTCTGCCAATTCAAAGATGCGAGACTCTATCAGCTTTGTCCAGCGCTACGGACGCGCCCTTTTTCGCATGCGCCGCTTCGTGAGCACCCTGCTCTCAGACTATGCAAAAATTTACCCACTTGGGGGACCGGGTGCAGAGTGGCCCCCGTGCGAGACTATGCAACAGCTTTTTGAGCCTTGCCACGGCCTGTATAACCGAAGCCAGATGGCGTTTTCAGAAGTCGTGGAGCAGCTCTTTAGCGCTCGTCTGGGGTCAGAATTAATAGCCGCGATCACTAGAGTCAATTATGGCCAGGATCCGGCAGAGATGAACGGCTTTTCAGGCGCTGTGGGTTTGGCTGGTTCCGGAGCTGATCTTTGGGCCGTCGACGGTGGGAATGTGCAGATCGTGGAGCAGTTGTTAAAGCGGTCTAAAGCTGAAGTTCTTCTCAACACAAAGATTGAAACGGTCACGTCGACGAAGGTGGACGGGAAAAACAGGCTCAAGTTAGAATCAGAGAGGGACAGTTGGTTGTGTGACATTGTGGTATTAGCAGCCCCTTACGAGACCGCTGACGTCAAGTTTCCTGAAGCGCTGGCAAAGTCCTTGTCCGTCGATAGGGAATTTCAGAGAACGCATGCCACGTTTGTACGCGGGTACCTAAACTCAAAGACGTTTGGCTCAGACCCTCCGGATGCGATCCTGACCACCGAGGGTGTTTCCGAACCGTTCACGTCAGTCGGCATAGTTTGGCATGACGTCGACGGGAAAGAACCGCCTATTTTCAAGGTTTTTAGCAAGACAAAACTCACGGCGCCCTCTCTGGCCAGGATATTTCAACGAGGGTCAAAAAAGTTGGCGCAATTCCCATGGTTGGCGTACCCGAAGTTTAACGTCCCAGAACGTTTTCCCATGTTTTCGCACAATCTGCCAGGTGGAGATGTTATTTACACTTCTCCGGTGGAATCAGCTGGCTCTGCGATGGAAATGAGTGCTGTTTCCGGCGCCAATGCCGCTTCCCTGATAAAACAAAAGCTTCGCTTAGAGCCGGAACCTGCACAAGAAGAGAGCGCAAAGGACGAACTATGACGCAATATGTTCATGGCTTCAGACCACAGCCAACGTTCTTTGCAAGTACCTCGCCGAAGTCAGATTTTGGAGGGTCACGTCTCACTGAAGCTTTGAGAGATAGTTGTTTTAGATAACGTGCAGAAAAGCCACAGCTTGGGAACTCCAGCATGCTTGTCCCAGAAATTCTGCGAAGGAGACTGGTTTAGGTACTGTTGTGCGGGCGCGACATGAGAGGCTGGTAGGAGGCTATCAGGGTAGCTGTTCAGATTGCAACAAACCGATGGGCAGTTTTATTGCAACTCTTTTCAATCCATGGCTGGACACAGTATACAGATGTATTTGTCCGTCCCTCCTTTGCCGAATGAGACAATCGATCCGCAAAAAGAAATAGCAACAACAATGAGCGGTAGAGTATCTTCAATAGCAGCACGCTGAAGTGCACGAGCAAGTTGCATTGGTTATTTGGCGTTGGTAGTTTTAATGTTGGGGCCTATTCGGTGACGAACACGGTGTGAAAGATGTTGGCATCACCCTTCTATCTTTGCTAAAGATTTGCATCGCTCGCTTGTGCACCTGATGTCATCCTCGAAGCAATGAGAGAACGTGACTGCTGTTTGATGCTAACCAAGCTTCTGTTTTGGCGGCAAAGATTCCTGGTGCGTGATTCGAGAATACTCCTGAATCGTGAAATTAGCTCTGTGAAGGCGCTTTTACTAATCCTGAATTGATTGGTTCAATACCCGATATTGGTCACGTTTGCCAGAGATGCATCAGCACTAAGGCGTCCTTCGATGAGGTGGTCGACGCAATAGTCATGTTTTGGTAATCCACTCCTCTCCCAAGCCCCTCAACTACGTGCAGACTACCTTTCTTCTCCGCCTCCCTCCCCGTTCTCCAATTCCCCCATCCGCGGCCCCCGCCTTCCACAATGGACGACCTTCCCCGCCCCCCCTCGACCCCTTCGACCCCCTCAACTCACACGCACCGCACCCCCCCGGACTCCGACCTGGTCCCGCGCTCCCCGCTCACGGACACCCTTGTCTCCTCCTTCGACCTCGCCGCCGTGCATCGCTCGCACAGCAAGCCTGTCGCTTGCCTTGACTTCTCCTCTGATGGCTCTCTTCTGGCCTCCTCCTCCCCCGACGGCGTCGTCGCCGTCTACGCAGCCCTCCAGGGGAAGCATAAAGCCACCATCCCTGTCCACAAGTACGGTGCCGGCGTCCTCCGTTTTGTGCATGGCGCATCCACACCCGCAGTTGTCGCAGCGTCGACCAGCAGAGACGATAAGCTCAGACTGCTGGACATCGAGTCGGAGAGGTATGTCCGCTATTTCACGGGACACGAAGCCACAGTCACTAGCGTCTCGGCTAGCCCCGCGGGCCCTGGCTTCATCTCGGCCAGTCAAGATGCCTGGATCAGGGTGTGGGACGTCCGCCAAGACGTCGCCCGTGGTAAAGTCAAGGCCAGCGGCTGTCCAGTCGTGGCCTACGATCCGAAGGGGCTTATTTTTAGCATTGCGTATAATGCTCCCAACTGGAAGACGTTGGTCAAGTTGTACGACGCACGTCAGTATGAGGAAGGGCCGTTTTTGGAGTTCCAGCTTGATAACCCGTCCAATTCTGTGCCATCGTGCTTGAAATATTCGTCGGATGGAGAGTACTTTTTGCTCGTTAATGCCGACGCAAATGCCAATGTCGACGTGTTTGACGCATATAAAGGGAAGAGCTACCGTAGGTTTTCGGGACATCGCAATGTTAGCGGTATTCCTTTGGAGGCATCGTTTAGCCCGGATTCCGCGTACGTAGCGACAGGATCGGATGATGGGTCGTTGTTTGCATGGAATCTAGAAAGTGAGAGGCTTGTGCTAGAGAAGAAGCAGGTTCATGCGCTTCCGACTGCATGTACTCTGTGGAATCCGTACTATCAGATGATGTCAACTTCATGCCAGAACGTCGTCTTTTGGCTCACATCACCGCAGGATTCTTCGTCGGAATACTAACCTTCCCTTTTTGTACTCATTCGCCCTTTCCCATCATTCCGGAGAGAACATACGCACAAGCAAAACTCCGTGAGGCAGAGCACGGCTTTCGATACTAGCCTGCCGCTCTATTTATTAACTTACATCGCTCGTCTACTTGTACATACACAATTGCAATTGCCAGATTTTCTCTATCATTTCCTCCCTTTTAATCTAGCTACTGCGGGCCAGTGCGAGACATGCTCATCGATAGGGGATGAATAGAAAGCAAGTCTTTTTGTGTGAATTCCCAATGACTTCAAGCAGTAGCAGATACTTTTATGCTTTCGCGGCTACACTGCGCTCAACGTATTTGCGTGCCTTGTTCTTAACTTCAGTGCGATCTTGCTTGGTGCCCAACCGCTTTTCGAACGCCAACCATTTTTGGAACACAGATTTCATCTTCTTTGAACTCCAGCCCAACGCAGTGCACTTCTCAAACAAGTTTCTCGTCGACTCTACGGCTTGCTGCTTTGCTTCTCCTTCAGCCTGTTGGCATTCGATCGTCTCCATGTCCAGGTAGACATTCCATAGATCCAGTCGTTTTGGGAAGTTGGCGACTAAAGACTCGAACACTGTACGCCCTCGTTCGGAGGTTCCGTACTTGTATTCAAACTGGGCAAATTTCGAAATTACCCGTACGTGATCAGTCTCTTCAATGCGTGCGAGTGCTTTTTCTAATGTACGACGAGCTGACTTCTTATCTCCAGACTTAAACTGAACCTCCCCAAGAGCAACCCAAACGGCGCTCGAACGTCTGAATTTTCTGGTGGCTCGTTGAAGCATCTCATCAGCAATGCGTGTACTGGTTCCGCGAAGTGCCCCCGCTGCTTGGAGGTGAAGCGTCTCGACATCTGTGACTCTTTCACAAGCTCTGTCAAACACACGGAACACAGCTGCATCTTTCTGAAGGCCTAGATTATCACCAGCTGCCTCACTAACAGAATTAGAAGCTCCATACTGCGCTTCGAGGTTGAGGTATGCCATCCAGAGGTTTGAGCGGTGTGACTCCTCGTTTAAGCTGATTGTGTCGAGTGCCCGCTCCGCTATTGATCTGGCCTTGTCCACTTGATGTAACGCGAGAGAAAATGCCATGTAGCGAATCCACAGAACGGAGCAGTTTGGTTCCCCCACAAGAAGTCGTTCAAAATCAGCTGCTGTCTGTGGAGAGTCCGGATTCTTTGCAAGCGCTTCTTCCCGTAACCGGATTGCCTTTTCAGATGCCTCCTTGAGTCGCTTCTTCTCACGCTTGTCCCGAGAAGTTTTCTTTTCGGGCTCTGGTTTGGCAGTTCTATTATCAGCTTGCTTGTCTTTGAGATCATCATCGGGCTCATCCTCACGACTCGATACATGGCCTCTTGCAGAGTCGCTGAAGTCAAATCCTGTACCAGTATACAAGGGGGGTACTTCTTCGCCTTCATCACTGGGTGTCTTACCCATCTCGTTCACCACATGGATGTCAGCCGTGCTGCCCCCTTCACCCGGTGTGGTTGCTTCTTGTCTTGCTACATCGATGGCATTCGCTTCTTCTTCATCAGTGTTGTTCTCGTTGGACACGACGCTGTCAATCTCATCATCCCCCGCGTCAATGATCTCCCCGCCATCCGTGACATTCAAATCCATCCCTTCATGGGAGATGGCTACAGGTGCTCGGGATGACTCATTAGCCTTCAAGAACTCTTCTGTTTGAGAATCAGATATTCCGGCAGCTTCAAAATAGCATCGCTTTGTTCCCAGCTGTACTCCCTTTTCGCTCACCTTGATGACAATAGCTGTAAGCTTCTGGCCAACCGACCACTCCTCCATAGGATTTTCGATAAACCTGTCCTGATCAGCTTCACTCTTGTGCAATAACGCGGTTACATCTTGTGAGATTTCAATCAACGCCCCAAACGCTTCAACGCGCTTCACAGTCCCAAAAACCTTGCTTCCTTCCTCCAGGCTTCCGAACTTTGGACCCTCCTTCAGCAACTTGCGGGGTCTCTTTCGCAATGTAAGAGAAATAAGGGACGAGGACTCTCCTTTTTTGTGCCCTTGCACGGTCCCCTCTACAACCTTGCCCACTGGAAATTCTTTTTTGGGCTCGTTCACAAAATCATCAGAAAGATCTCCTAATTTGATATGCGCAGAAACACCGCGACCGATAGTCACAAAGCAACCTTTCTCGGTCGTTGCCTTCACGAAACCGCGCAACTTCGCACCAGTCTTTAACGAAGATACTTTTTCCTCCCTCAAAACCTGATCGCGACCAGAGTCAGTCAGCTTCCGCATAGAAAGCCAGATCACAGTTTCTTTCTGTGATGGTCCTTTAGGAGCAGGAGGCTTCCGGACCCGCACCAAATCCCCTTCTTTGAAATTAGATATTGCTGAGGAAACTTCGTCGAAGTCTTCTGCAATATCACAAAGAGCTACAATACCCCATGATTTCATTTTAGAGTCAGGACCCCGTTCATGCCATGGAATGTGCACTTTGAGGCCACGGATGGGATTCACTTCTAGCACAACCCCCGCGAAAAAGCCGTCAGATTTCTTGCCGCTCTCAGAAATCGTTCCCCATAACTTTGGCGTGTCTCCCTTTCCCACATCTGTGATCTGCACAACGACTGGAGACCCGTCCACCAAATCGCTGCTGTCACCTTCGACTACGACGTTAGAACGAATACAACTCACAAACGTCGATGGACCAATCGCGACTTGAGTGTACGAATATTTGTTTTCCTTTGCCTGAGTTCCGTTTGCTTTTCTCACTCGGGAGGAAATACTCGTGATGAACCCAAGGAATTTCTGCCCCTCCGAGACATCCCCAAGATACTGTCTCTTCTCGGCGAGTGATAAATCTACTATTATTGGATTAGCATTTAGATCTTCAGATGCCCGTTTGACACCCGCCACGTACAAAGGGCCCACTTTTGAACCCACTTCTGGTAACTGAAATCGGGAAGCTATCTCCGCGGGCGGGGGACCCAACGCTAGTCCGGCTCTTTCTGAATCGGAAAGAAAATCAACATTGGTCACGTGAATTTGCCCAACTATTCCTTGTGCAATGCCAACGTAAACGTGAAGTGGGAACGCCTTTGTCACTTTGCCTGCCAACTTCTTCCCAACAACCAGCCTTTCGTCTTGGCCGCCGGAATCGCGTAGCAGCGACACAGTGGTTGAGTAGTCAGTTTTCCTGTCAATCTTGACATGCTGTGTAGACTTTGCGGAATTTTCTCTGAATCCTTTCCAGTCAATGACAACCAGATTTCGCCTGGTGTGGGCAAGACTCTTATCCAAAACCGTGCATTGTACGTGAGTGCCCGGACGAATCTCAAGGTTATCTGACACGGTGGGACCCACGGCAAATGCTATTGCCGTCCTTCTCATCGACCTGGCGACAGCTAGAATAATGTAACTGCTCTTGACAAGTAGAACTGTCGCCGAAAAAGAGCTTCCAATGTTGAGAATGGACTTTTTAGAACCTCCCGCAATGATTTTTGCATCTCGGGAGACATCGACGACTTCCGAAAAGGGATCTACGTCTAGTACTCGGACTTGTTCTTGCTTTGAGGCATGCTCATCCTTCACTGGTTTCTTCGATTTCTTTTTTTTGTTGTTCTTGGAAGACAACTCCAGGTTTTCTGTCATCGCCAGGTCCTCTCCACTCGGAAATTCCATGTTTGTTTCGTTCACGTCAAGAGATACCCCAAGAATGTCTGAGTCCCCACACTTAAGTTTGAAAGTCAAACCGTAGGTATGCCTTGCTGCAACTTCCGCATCAATAATGGAGCCAATTGCAACTTTGTTCTCTATACTGGGTTTCCGCAAGAAGTCTCTCCACTTCTCTAAAGATTGAAACAATGAAAGCGTTTGCCTTGCAAGGCTATGGCTGCCTACGTCCGAAAGACGAAGAGACAACTGAAAACGTTGACTATCCTTGTCAATTGTGTCCACGGCTGCACTGACGGACTGATGGATTTTCAAGACGCGAGCAGGGTCGCTCACGAAATGATCTGCAATACGAGACTTGCGCGCAAATCCGACAGCATCCCCAAGAAAACCAACGATAACTCCAGAGGGTAGCAGAGCCTTGACATATCCGCTAAGAACGACAGGTCCTTGCTTCTGGGAATCCATCTTCTTCATGAGCTCGTCAACATCCTCAAAGCTTTTCGGGAGCCTCTTTGATGCTGCCGCGTCTTTCAGACTTTGCTTCATTGTAAGTACAGGGGTCGCATCACGAATGGATATGACCATTAGGTCTTTCAACCACAACTGCGCAGCAGGCGTGGTTTCAGATGCTTTGGAAAATCCCTTCGACAATTCAGAAACTATTCGCTCCGTCATTCCATGGGTATCCCCGATATGACCAAATGGAAGATGACAATCAACTTCTAGCTCTTCAGCATCCCGTTGCATCTCGGAGGCATTCACTTTCATCTCAGAATCTCCGTCGTGGTGTGGCTTCACCGTTACTGACACTACCACATGATTAGCGATATCATCAATCTTGGTAACACTCCCGTTAACGAATTGTCCAAGTTGCAGCGGAACTGGCCTTCGACTTGGCTCGTTTTGCTGCAGGTCCATCGACGCCAAAATTCGGCGAAGTTTTACCATGACTCTTGTTAGTCTCACGTGCACTGTTTGTCCGACAGGGTAGAGCTTTTCCACATCAGACTGAGAATAAGTAGAACCGATCGGCGTCCCAAGACATAGTTCAGAATGTGGTACTATCCCAGCCAGCTGTCCACAAAATGCGATCACGACACTGCCACTCTCCAATACTCGCAAGACAGACCCACTGAAAATTGCTGCAGTAGCAGTGCGGTGTTCATTCTTGGCGCTGGACTGCGCTGCTCGAAGAGCTTTGCTTGCATGTTCCATAGAGGTCAATAGGGGGTACTTTGGTGATACAAGCGACTTTTTGGCAGCAAGGATAACTTTTCCTTTCCGCAAGTTGACGTACAGTGCGCGGCATCTCAACTTGGCGCCGACCCGAAGGCTTTCGTGCTGGCCCAACCGCTTCGAGGAAATAGAAACATCAGAAACGTGTGTTGATGGGACAATGCCTTGCAGATGAGTGTCGCCATCAACGGCAACAGACAGCGAACCCAGAGTCGTGTGGCTCATAACTCTACAGTCGTACAAAGAACCTGGCTCAATCTCGTCTAGAGACAAAGCCTTTCGCGCCAAGACGCTCGGTCGCAGATCGACATTAACCACTCCATCAAACTGAGAAACAGACACGACCCGTGCCCCATCAGTGACAATCATGTCTTTGTGATATTTGGATTCAAGCTTCACATCTTTCGAATCAAAAACATGACTGATATGTGCAAATAACGGGACTTGAGCCTCTCTGAGCTCCTCATCGAGCTTGGCCACGTCCTCATCAGAGCAATCCATGGTGGCATCTTTATCTCCGTCAGTCACGTCTTGCCCCTCTGGCGATGCCCACGACATGATCAAGCCATATCCAGGCTTCACCTGCTCAACTTTGAGCCTCTTCATTACAGAACCAACCTTCCAATCGGTAGGAACAGGCGGAGGTGAGAGCTTCATAACATAGCTGTCTAGTAGTGAAGCGCCAATTCGCTTCTGAGATGCATCCACGTACAAAAGGCGCGTAAGAATCTGCTTGCCTACCTCGACGTCCCAGGTCCCATCTGTTGATCGAGGGACGTGGGAGGCGTCGACGGCAATCTTGAATACTCCAAACGCGCTCAATGCCACACCACCAGGCCCTTCCATCATCACCTTGGCCGGGACAAGCATACCTGCCCTGAGCTCATGGTAGTTGAGCTGCTCTGTAACACTAACAGTTGCGGCAAGAACCGCTTCTCTGTTTGCCGACACCTGGGCGACACCAGCGAAACTTTTCCCCTCCTTATTCTTGGGAACGACAACATCCTGCTCAACAACTACTTCGACTGGCTGCCCAACACGGAGGTTGGAATCTTCATCCCCTTTACCTTCTTCGCCGGCCGGTTGCCATTTGTCAAACGGCAGGAAACCCGTCGCGAAGATATGGGCACCAAAAGAAAGCACGTAGCCGTGGTCTTCAACAGAACGCACAGCTGCATAGACCGGGAACCCCTTCCGCAGAGCATGCACAGGATTGAGTCCGACATTGACAAGGTCGGGCTTGAAGGAAACTTTGACAACCTTCCGCCCACGATCATTACTGACAACGGACAGCAGGGCAACACGGACAACCTGGCCGACATGTACGGTCATCCACAGAGGGGTGACACCGTCCTGGTCGCCGCTCATTTCACTATCAGCCTCACTCTCCACCTCGCTCTCCTCCTCGCTGTCGTCGCTATGCTCCCTCCGCACAAACTCGCGCGCATCGCTCTCCGGCTGGACGAGCAGTTCATCCGGCGCGGCGGTGGCGACGATGCCGCCGGGCAGCACGACGTCAACAGCGAGCCTGTCCGCGCGGACGACGAGGGCCAGCGACGTCATCCCCGGCGACAGCCTCGACGGCGAGAGGTTGGCGCCGTGGCGCGTGACGCCCAGGTCGCCGAGTGGGTCGGAGGCGTTGGCGCCAGTGTCGAGCGAGGGACGGGTCGGCCGGGCCCGCTTCGAGGCAGGCGCGAAGAGCACTTGGCCATCGCGCTTGCGGATGCGCGGCGTGGCAGCCAAGGCCGCGCCGCGCGGGAATAGGTCACCCTCCGATGACTTGTTCTTGCCTGACTCTGGCTTTTTCAGAGCGCCCATGGTTGCGGGAGAGGCCGGTTGCTCTCTGCCTTCGAGCTGGAGTGGCAGGTGCGACTGAGGAGTACTCTTGTTGGGTAAGTAGGGCGGAGGGCGCGGGGATAGACCCTGGTGGTTATGATGCTGCTGGTTCGCGACGGCGGTGGCGTACGGCAATGTCGCGGCTCGCCATTCGATGAGGCAGAAGAATGGAAAAAAGTAATTCAATTTTGGCAATCCATCCCAAACCCCTCCTACTGTACCCTTGAAGGGTACTGGCATTCGCCACACAACTTCTGGGTCTCCTTTAAGAACAGGTGCACACGTTTGATCCATCATGTACTGCACAGTAGGGATCACGTTATGTCTACAGTACTGTAGTAAACCTCCACTTCTCCGTCCTCGTAGTCAGCCTCGCTCTCACAAATTGCCCACTCCCATCTCGCATCTCCGCCTCGCCGCCCTCCCCGCACCTGTAACATGATCATGGAGCACCTACCCAAGCTTCAAACGAAGAATATAGTACTAGCAAGCCAGTCCCCGCGGCGTCGCGAAATCCTCACGCTCATGGGGCTCCCCTTCACGCCGGTGCCGTCTCAATTCGAGGAAAACCTCGACAAGTCCTCGTTCAAATCCCCGCGCGACTACGTCATGGCCAATGCGCACGGGAAAGCTGCGGACGTCGCGGCGAGCCAGACCGACTACGACCTCGTCATCGGCAGTGACACGGTCGTCGTGCTCGACGGCAAGGTGCTCGAAAAGCCCAAGTCTGAGGGCGAGGCCTTCCGCATGCTCGCCCAGCTCAGCGGCAGGCAGCACACCGTCGCCACCGGCGTGTCGCTCATCGCCAAGGGCGACACAACTAGGACCTTTGCAGAGGAGACTTCGGTCTGGTTTGCGCACCTGTCGGATGATGTCATCGGCGCCTACATTAAGACGGGAGAACCTATGGATAAGGCGGGCGCGTATGGCATCCAGGGAAGGGGCGGAGCGCTTGTGCGTCGTATCGAGGGCTGCTACTTTACCGTCATGGGCTTGCCGATGCACGCTTTGGCGAGGGAGATTGCAGAGCTGTGCAAGGAGCACTTGCTGTAAAGGATTTCCAAAAAACATTCTCCAGTGCCATCTCAGCGGCCAAAGGAGCCGCGGAACGTCACAACCCTCCTCCAATGGAAGCCGTTCGGCTCCGGACTAGCCCCTCTTGAATGCCCGAGCCGCGTATCTGCAATCAAACTTTGCAAGGCTGTTCCTACATTCTCACAATGTGGTGCCCTCCCCGGCCCTCTGCCCCTCCCCTATCTCCCGTCTCCGCTGGTCCATGGTCCCGCCGCAAGCTCCCTCTCGGTCGTGGGGAATGTGCCTCGCAACAGCCTCGCGAACCTTGCTGAGCGGGCAAAGGTCTCCGTACTGCTCGCACCCGCTCACGGCGACTGGTTTTCCCTCGTACACGAGCCTTACACGCGGCTCGGTTTCGCGGCTCGCTTCTAGCGGCACCCAGGTTTCCATGACGAGGTCTGCCGCAAACGCGGGGACGCCGCGATGCGCCTTGTTTTCGAAGAGCGCGAGCACGGGGAAGAGCGTCGTGTCGTGTGCAGAGTAGATCTTCAAGCACCACGAAGTGTCGGCGTGGTGCTCCACTTCGTCGAGTAGTTCTTGCGCAAACTGAGAACAGAAAGACGGTAGACAAAAAAAAATGGATAACATCAAACACAGGTTAATACAGCTCAACAGAAGCAAGGCCGCCGCGCACCCGCTAAGTACGCAGAGGCACACCTACCCGTCCAAGCCCGAGACCCCACGAGTCAGGTCCATGAAGCTTTCCGATCAGATTCATAGCCGGGTTCTCCGCTACATGCTCCCATGGCTGCACTTCGCAGCCGTTCTCCCTCATAGCAATGGCAATATCCCTCAAGGCCAGCGCGCGTCTACTCCCCTCCAACCAGTCGCCCGTCTTCGGCTTGAGCCACCTTTCGGCCGGTTCGTCCAAGGCGTTAGGAAACGTGAACGTCGCGTGCGCCGCTTGCTGCAAATCAAAAAGCTTGTTGCACATTGTACGGATCCCCAGCATCGTCTCCTCCTCACGGTGCCGCACCTCTATCCGCACGGCAGTCGGATGCTCCTCCGCGGCCGGGAAGAGACCCGACAAAGTCGCCACCGCGCTCTCGACCGTGCGGCGCGTCGCCGTCGACCGCAGCACAACTTGCTCCGGATCGAATTGCTGCGGCAGCAGCTGCGCATAGCGCGCACGCAGGCGCGCGCCCAAGGCAAACATCTGGGCCGCGCCGAGCGGCGTGAGCTGCCCGTGGTAGCACGAAGCGGAGGAGTTCGGGGTGAACAAGGTGGCGGTGGTCGGGTGTAGTGGGGGCGGCTGCGGGATGTGCGGGCGGAACCGGAAGAAGGTGCGGAAGGCGGCCGAGCCGCAGATGGAGGGGAAAGCAGTGCCTGCTTCGGGCGAACGCGCTCCGTGACGGTGGATGACCTGGATTTGGACCAGACGGTTGCCGGGCGGGTCCTCCATCATCCCCATCCTTCGAAGAAACGGAGACGGAGGTACGTGAGAATAAACACTGACGCTGCTATCGAAGTCGGGGACGACTTGCTGGATGAGGTGTGAAGGATAGATTCAACCACGAATGACACGTGTGTTAAGGGAGCACCATCTCCTAATAAACCACTGCCTCAAGATGACGTCCCGCATTGGCCACACACCCCGCCACGCCGCCCCAACCACCATCCGCATTCCCCCGCCCCCCCGGTAACCTCCGCTGGCACGGCTCGGTCCCCCTGAACCCCC